TTATGACTTTGTCAAGTGATATAAAAATAAAGTTAATCATTTTATAGTTTGCTAACACAATTAACGTTGTCATATGCTTGTTTAAAGTAATACATAACAATATGAAAAAATATTAATTTGTTATTCTGACCTAAATATTTTTAGGACATTTTAATAAATTGTATCATGAAAGTACAGCAAGCATAATTACTAGTTAGCTAACACCAAATGAAATAATAATTTATATTTTGAAAATAGATGCTATAATTACTAGCAATAAATTCATGCTTTTCATGAGCATGTGTTAGCAATAAATGATAATTTTATATTAAATTGGATACATCGTTAGGTGTCAGTAAATTCTACAAAAATAATCTCTATCAACACAAACTATATGATCATATTGATTATTTAAAGTGATCAAATTTGGCCAATATCACCAACTAATCCAGTTATTTAATTATAATCAATGTGTGACATGCACATTTTGTACATTTAAAAACATTATTTCTATGGATCTAAAGATGATAGAAAATATTTGCCGTAAAAGTGTTTGCGAAGTGTCATCCATAGAAATAATGTTCTTAAATGTACAAAATGTGCATAATGATAATTAATTATTATTATTATTGTTATAACATATAATATACGACATTTAAGTACAATAGTTATATTCTTGAAATACAGGTTATTTTATTAATTGCATTGTGTCCTAAAATAATTAATACTGTATAATATTTTAATGGATTGCTATTTTGATCTTTTTAATATTTAAAAATAATTTGCCGTATTAATAAGTTTTTGGGTGTTAAATATAATACTACTGTATACTTAATATATGTAATATTAAATGAAAATCTCTGTCAAATTAATTAATTAAAACGAATAGAAAGCAATCTTGGAAATTTATTGTGCCAAGTTTATTATTTAATTTATGTTAAATTAGAATGAGAATTTAAATAAGTGTTTAAATTAAATTTTATTAAATATTTAAAGTCAGAAATATATAATCAAATTAAATTATTTTTTTCATTCATTATTAGACAATTTATGAATATTTATTAGTAATAATATTAATTATATTTGTAATTTTAATTATTTTTATTATAATGTTCATGAATATACAGTAAATATAAAAAACTTAATTACCGGTAACAATTAAGTTATACATAAATAGGTTTACACTTTTAATAAAATAAATTTCATTTAATTATTAAATAATATTACGTAATGAATCATAAGTTATGATTATTGGATAAAAAATTAATTAATTAAATAAATACTTTTAATATTTTAAATAAAATTATATAAACCGTAATTAAAAATATTATCCAATTTTAATTACTTTTAACCACAGGAATAGTGCTATTATTATGATCTTGGTGCTTTTCTCTTGTATTCTTGATAACTTTTATTTGAGACATGAATGTCATGTGACTATCTCTCGTAAGCCATTCATTTCTGGTATCATTACCATCGATGGGAATATTATCCACAAAATATAACTTATTTGTTGAGTAAGTGGTAAAGAATTGTCGGAAAGGCTTCTCATCCAACACTTCCCACCTATTGCTGTGATCTCTAATCAAAATCCTAATCGACCGGTTCGTATGGGACAGGGATTGCTCGTCAAAGCTCGAGCTATTAATACCCGGATTATCATTAAACTCCAACAGAAAGTAATCGGTAGTAGAGCTGAACACCAGGACATCGTTCGGTATACGAGTGATAGATGTGCGGGATATCTGCACACCAGTCAAGCCTTTCGGTAAATAAAATGCTTTTTCACCGATACTCGTGACGGACTGACCGGAAATGGAGATGTAATTCAATTTTGGCAGCAAATTGAAGGCATTGGCGGGTATTGTCTGTAGATTGCAGTCATTTAGAGTCACTTCACGTATTGAATGAAATCTATTGATAATGGAGAAGAGGTTCGTGTGATTGGAGTCGTGGTTGAGGTGCGGACAGTCGTATACCACAAAACTGTGCAGAACTGTAGATTGCAGTCATTTAGAGTCACTTCACGTATTGAATGAAATCTATTGATAATGGAGAAGAGGTTCGTGTGATTGGAGTCGTGGTTGAGGTGCGGACAGTCGTATACCACAAAACTGTGCAGATTTAAGCCGTCGAAAGCGTCGGTATCTATGGACTCGAGCGAATGGTCGCCATCGATGACAAACTCCGTGAATATAATGTCGCCGAAAGTGTTGGCCACGAGTTTTGTGGCATTTGTTTGGTGTAGATATAGCCTCTTGAACGCGATGTCACTGTTTGTGAGGTTTTCACTCAGATTGTCAAATAGTTGCTTCAGATCAGTGATGGTGTGGCCATGACATATTAGTTCCAGCTCACCATGATAACCTATGTCTATACTTGAGCAAACGCACGGGTCCAATAACTTTTGATCCGGACATTTAGTAAATACTTTTGTTTCGTAAAATGTGAACACAATTTGTAAAATTATGTAATGTTTAATATAGTTAATAAGCATTTTTATTGTGAATTTTTGTAGTTTTAATAATTTAAAAACATAAAATTTAGTTTTACTTATTTTTTAGTCAGAAAATGTAATATACTGTACAATATATTATTTATAATAAAAATTGTTATTGGATTTTAATTTATGTCACTTAAACAGTTGATTAAATAAAGTAAAATTCAATTTATGTGAACCTATTTTAAGAGAATAAACTGTATTTACCTTATATATATTTATTATAGTGTATAATAAGGACAATACTGTAGTATACAGATAGTAAACCTGATTAAATATTAACAAGAATTACCATAATGTATAAAATGAATATTATAATCATAATTCAGGTTAATTAACGGGAGGTTTAATGATATATTTATTTTATCAAAAAATACAAATAATATTCTATAAACATTATAAAATACAAAATATGTACGATATTATAAATTAAGTTAGTTTACTTTATATAATTGTAATTATCAATAAGTTATACAGGTACATTAGCCCTTCACTTGTAAACTAATGGCACCGTGCGATAAGTCATGCGATACTTATTGGCGTAAAAGTCGACAAAATTATTAAATTGAGTTTCAATGAATTCATTGATTTTGTAGAGTTTGACAATTTTATTGCCCGATATAAATGTTATGAAACCAAACTCAACGTGCGATTCAAAACGTTGTATATCTTAAAGTCGACAAAATTATTAAATTGAGTTTCAATGAATTCATTGATTTTGTAGAGTTTGACAATTTTATTGCCCGATATAAATGTTATGAAACCAAACTCAACGTGCGATTCAAAACGTTGTATATCTTGAAAATTATAGTTTGTATGCAATACCCGGGGCAATTTTTGCACAATTTGTATGTACTTTCCAATAATACAGTTCCTATCATAATATGTGCCGCAAATATATACGGCGCCGGTATTTGACAGAAAATATGTAACGGCCTGTTGTTCCAGTATTTGTTCATTTTTAATGTCCAGATCTTTTTTAGTGACATCATAATAATAGCATGATGACACAAATTTCATATCATTCAGGTCCGGTATTAACTGTGGTGTGTAGATTTTACTTGGTGAGCTGTGTCCCAATTGATAGTACGTGTTATTACCCCAACTTAATACCAGTCCCTCTAATGTGATGGCATAGGAGCACAGGTTATAGCAATAAATAGATTTAATTTCGTATTTATTATTAATGTTTAGCAGAATTGGTTGACTAGTATTGTCACGATTTGTGGCATTAATCCCATCCCCGCACCCGAGTTGACCGCAATTATTACAGCCCCACCCGAACACCCGGCCGTCCCCTGTGAGGGCCAGACTGTGTTGCGAACCGCAACTCATTTCCAGAATATTCTTGTCGTCAAAGAATGCGATTTTCTCGGCACTAAAATAGACACCAAATTCTTGCGCCGCACGTCTGCCCAACTGTCCCCACCTATTGTGTCCCCAACTGTAGACGTGGTTCACATCATTCACAGCCAACACAAAGTCCCAGCCGTTGATAAACTGTTGAATCCTTTTGTGGCATAATTCTGGTATAATTTGCGGCGAATTGATGACCCGATTGTGTCCTAAGCCGAGACAACCCTCGCTATTACGGCCCAAACCGTACACTAAATCACTGCTCGTAATGAACAGAATATTCTTGAATTTCCGCGAGTCGTCGAAAACATGTAATAATTTTATTTCTGGTTTTATATAATCGTCTATTTTATCGCAAATACGAAAATTTTCTAATATATTAGCCATTGATTTGACAATTTGAACATGCACATTTATATACAAATAACTTTTATATTTTGTTTATATTACTTTATAAAAAAATACAATTTATTAATTAGTTCAATCTATAATGATCAATTACTTTCTATGATGTGAAATATTATGAATTATATAATTATCGGTATTACAAACAAACTGATAAGTAATATTGTGAGTATGCTTACGAAATAGAAAGTATGCTTGAATATTTATGTAATATTTTATTGGTAATTATGATACTCTATTGGCAACAGGAAAATGCGGATTTAGTTTACAAATAGTTTTATATCCAACTCATCGTTAGTAATCAATATTACATTCATGTGTTTCCTGGCATTCATGCGAGTCATAGAAAACATTTAATTGTTTTTGTATTGTATTGTCAAATAATTTTTAGCATAAATATTCATTTTGTTAATAAATAACCTTTTAGATATTTGATCGCTATATTGTTGATGCTATTGCTAAACACGCTTTGTTTATAAATACTGCATTCAATTAACAAATTAATATAAAATGTAGTATATTTTTTGTTATTTTGTTACCGGTGTTAGCTTTTAATAACTACTGGGATTATTAAAAATTACTTGTACCGGTATATCTATATTAATACTATTTGATTTGACAACTACTTTAATCATATATTCAATATTTTCAATGACCGAATAAACTTTAATTATAAATCAATTTATTATTACAATGACTCAAAAGCAGAAAATTAAATGAAAATTAAATACTAACACAATATAGAGTTAATCAATGAATCGCTGAGTATTTATGGCAAACATTTGAGCTTTAGATGCGAACGGTTTGAGTGTCGAACTGATGGTCCCATTCATCCCATTCCTCTGCAGATGTGAACCAATTGGGAAGCAGTGTATTGACCGTCAGTTCAGTACTTCTGACGCATTTGTCTCTCTTTCTGAACTGAACTCTAAAAACATCCAAATCTTTGCAGTCTTTCATCACGTCTTTCATGTAATCCAGGAATCGGTTCACAAAAGCAAACGACTCGTCAGTCTTCCAGCGAAACGAAACCATTTCCGGGATTTCCGAGACTTTCACTCTTCGGATCTCTTTCAACACATTCTCGTTGTCTTTGATCCCAACCATAACGAAGTCGATGTCTGCGACCACACTCTGCGACCACCAGTTCAACAGCTTTTGCCCAAAAGCCATATTCTTTGAGCACTTAATGTCGTACTGATTGTCCTCTTCGTCGATGGCATCCATTTCCGACATTAATAGCAATCGGTGTCCGCCTTAAGACATCACACAATCAATCAATTCATTAGCATTTGTGTCAAAACTCTTTGGATTCAAATGCAAACCGATTTCAGTCTCAAAACAATTGAAACACTTCTCGAACTCATTGACGGATCTATTCATCACTTGTTTATCACTTTTGGTCACAATTTGAGTCACTTTTGCCGCAAAGTATGGGTTCTTATCGACAAAAGTCGTCTCACGAGTGAGCGATGGCTCGAGTGACTGGTCTCTGGAGTGCCGACCCTTCGAGTGATTACTGAATCGGATCTTATTCATGAAAATCGTTTCTTTGAATTTCGACACCAATAGAGTCCAGTCTTCGCACAGATTGGGAGTCATCAGCAGTGATGCGAAGAGACCACCGAATGAGACAAACTGTGGTAAAGCTTCCGATGGCCTGTCTTCCAGACATCGCGACCTTCGGATCCACTTTAAGAAGTACTTCCATTTCAACTCTTTGTATGACTTGTAGTCAGTTATCACTGAAGACTCGGCGAAACCTATGAGTGAGTGAACAGAGAGTCAGACAATGGTCTCAAGAGTGGACACAAACCGTCCATCAGATTGACCGCCATTTTCTCGATTGTCTTCAAGTCTTCATCGCTTTTGACGACATTTTGCTCGCAATTCACGTCATTATAGCTGTGATTGTCTTCAATACGAAATGAACCCAATTTGTGGTGACTCTCGAAACCACTCCTCAGACGCGGATCTGTCGATCGGTTTCTGTCGAAGACATACAACACCTTCGATGGCGTTGTCTTCGCATCGCTTCCCACCGTGTCTTCACTCAAAGCCTTACCACTCATGTGATGGTCAGTCGACGTCTTCGTGACCACAGCGGCAGCGGATTCACTGAAATCCCAGACCTCGACATCTGTTCCCGAAATCGACATAATTTTCGGTCAAATATTCGCTGAAAACACAAATCAATTGAAAACTCAATTCAATCGACAAACAAATGATAGGTTGTGTGCACTCAATGGTCACACTATTGGGTCCTTTTAATACTATATTAGTGTTTGTGTTATGAGTGGGAAAAGGGACCGAAAGTTGTTTATGAAATAAATTTTTGAAAATTGAATATTAAATGCAATCTTTTCGGTAAAAATTATTAATAATTTCAAAGTTTTGTTATTAACTATAGTTTATTTCAATTGAATTCATATTTAAATACAATTCACAAAACAATATGGTTTTCACAAAATTAATGTTAAATATGACACAAATTAAGAGTTTAATGTTTTAATTGTAATAAACAGTCAATTAATTAGATATGAAAAATGAATCAAAAGTATTGAAAACATTGACACAAATTGTGTTCAAATAATGAATGGGTTATTGGTTTAGGACTGAACTCATCCACAGATGACTATCATTGGAGACATAAGAGGACCGGTGGCTCACGTGGTGTCGGCGCCCGTGGCCTGAGTATAGACTCACGGGTTGTCGGCCAACCGATTGGCCCACAGATTGAGTCATCCCTTGGGACCCACACGAGGACAGGGGTCGCCACACCTGCCAATCATTAGCCCATTGTTGGTGACCATCGATGGCCAGTATGTGAGGGACGTGTGGCTCCTGTGGCCTCCAACTGGTGTTCGGCTGTCGGACACCATTTAAGAGGCGCCGCTCGGGAACCGCTGTTTTGCGACACATCCGACACGACTTAGACGTCATCAGCCATTCATCGATGCATTTCCTGTGGAAGCGATGAACGCATGACAGGACTCGCTCTTCGCCCGCAAACACATCCAAACCATCCAAACAGATGCAACAGACGGCTGTCGAGGACTCGCACTTCACTTCTTCGACCACTTCTTCTTCATCTCTTTGTGCGACTAATGGGTGCGCTGTCTGTCCGCCGATGACTACTTCGTTGTCCAACTGTGGGTAACATCGCGTGAAGTGTTGTCTAACAGACAAGTGGTCCACTTCTTGACCACATTTGGGGCACAATTCACTGTTTGTGTCTATTGAAGACCTGCGGAACAAATGGTAATAATTGAAGACTTTTTAATGTTATCTGAGATTTAGTGGAAAGAAGTGTCAAATGTATGGCTCTTTGTGTGACTATTATTTGCCCCCATTTTGGCCACAAATACGTGTAATTCAATGGCAAACCCCTCCCATAATACCCACACATATACTCACATAATTGATGCGCACTTATCGTAATCACATGTTTGTGTGCTTTTCATGTGAAACACGTTTTGCTGTATTTTCGGTCATATTTTCAATTGAATTGACTTTCAGTGCAATGAATACACTGTCACTCACTATAGAGCGGTCACTATAGGAGTGAACGGTTTGTCCATTAGATGATAACGAGTGGTCATTACATGTGATTGTATTGACAGTCACTCAAGACATGGACCGAAGAAGTTGTGGTCAAAAGCCGTCAAAAAGGGTTTGTTTTGCTGACTGTCTGATCACTCAATACATTGTCTCACATCTCATGCATAACTGTCCACTCATTCAGTCATTATTACTATTATTTGGATCTCTAGGCAAAGGCGTCGATGACTGACACCAATAGGACTCGAGAGGAATACCCGAAGGACTCGCTCGACAGATACGGCGATGACTTGTGTGGACTCGTATTGTCTGACCTGTCCCTCGAAGAGTGTTTCCGATTTGAATGTGTGTCCAAACAATGGCAGCGATCGGTATTCAAACCACAAAACTATGTGAATGTCGAGAAACATCTGAAGAAATGGCAGATAATAAAGGGTAAGACTATTGAAGACATCGATTGGCAGATCTTGGAGTCAGTGGTGCGGAAGTGTCCGAACATTAGACGCTTTGATATTGAGATCCATTCAGAAGTGACGGGAAGAGTGTTTGAGACACTCATGAGTGCATACAAACACTTGACTGCAATCGACATCACATTTGACACCGGAATCAATGCCCAGATAATCGACACCATTCTCGGCAAACATGGCTCGCAGTTGACGGCCATTTCAATACCGCCGTCGGGTTATGATGTCTTTGAAACGCACTCCAAGTCGTTGACACGACTGAGACAACTGTCCTCATCGGGACATATGTTGCTGTCAACCATTGTCACCGAAAACTATGAACTATTGGTCAAGAATTTGACTCATTTTCGCTTCAATTACACGAATTGGCAAACATTCATACCATTTGTGATACACTACAGAAAGATCTTGAGATCGCTGTCCATTACATTCAATTCGCGATTCATAACTACCAGAGAATACATTCTTATACTGATTCTGATCTCCAAAATGCAGTCATTGCGGGAATTGAATATTGAGTTGTTTTTTGCCAATGAAGACACGGCCGACACCATTGATCCGGTCGTCGACTATCACTGCAAAGTGTTTGTCAATCAGTGGCCGCACCTCAAGAGATATCGTTTGAATATGTGGTGCGGAACTGATCTACACGTCAAGCGATTGTACGAATCGGTGGGTCGTATGAAGCGATTACAGCGCTTGGAGTTAACGCTGAGACCGCGTCCGGCAGACAATGAATGGACCGTTGATTTGACGCCAAAAGCATTGTCTCCTTTGAAACGATTAACGCATTTGTCGTTACGTTTGGAGAACTGTATACTCAATGAGAGTTTCTTTGAGTCATTTCACTCGCAATTACCTCACATTAAGTGCCATATATTGATCCAATTGTCCAAAGAAGTCACCGATTTTGACGCAATTATCCAGAAGTTTTCGAAAGCCAAGGACTATAAGTTTCTACAAGAGATCGTTACTCAAGAATCCAGTGTTTAGTGAACACACCGTTTGAAACTCATTTCAATTAATGTTTTCTTATTTTGAATAATCTTTGCATAAAAATACATTTAATTTTTTGTTTCATTTAATTTGTTATATAAATACTGTATTTAGCAAATATTGTCAATAATTACATTGTTTTCTGATTTATTGCCACGAATTACTTAAATCAAAGACTTGTTTCCCTATAATTAGATAATTAAAGCATACATTTACTTATTTTTTGTTTTCAAATCAATTGTATCGAAATTGTAATTACTGATTATAATTGAATTAAAAGTTATATTCATTAAGTGTTTTACAAAATTATATTATTTTTCATATACATATCGCTGTATGGATCCCAAGAGCTTTTGGGATAAGTGGTTAGGCATTGCCCGAAAGGCATCCGATTTTACAATTTGTATCAAATTATTGGATTTAAACGCGAATTCAATGCAACTCTTCTCCAAATCATTTGACTTCTCATTGGACTTCTCATTGACTTTCTCATAGAGATTACAGATGTTTGACAACTCTATCACCACTTCTTCATTAACTTCCGGTCCACACAACTCCTGAAGTATGGATTCGCCGTAAAGTGTGGCCAACTTTGAGACTTCCCTTCTGTTATTACAACTGATCTCTGGTTTGAGTCCATACAAGAACTGCAGGAATGCATAGAAAGCCTCAAAAGAATAGGATTTGATTTGAATTTCACAAATCGAGTCATTTTTAGACAACATTTGACAACATTTTTGCCAAAACTCTTTGTTTCGTAACTGAAGGAGAGTTTTGTGACAATAAATGCTTTTATCGTAGAATTTGAAAACTAAATCAAAATCCGATTGATTGTCGAAAAGGTTTAACAAATACTTTCGGAAGACTTTTATTGGAATCAACTCTTCGTTTGTTTTCTTTATACCCAAAGCTTTTGAGTCATCGGTTCCGCAGTTTTGTTGCATTTGTTGGACACTCTTGTGATTAAAATTGGAAACGTTTTCATCACTTCTTATGTTTATGCGATTGAAGTCATCGGAAACTTTGTCCTTAAAATACAGCTCTTTTTGATCGACATTCAGATCAAAGTTATCATTGATTGCATTCATCGTGTTGTCGAAGATTATTGTCTCAAAAGTGATATTAGTTTTGCAATAAATGGCAAAAACATCGTAAATAGTATGAGTGGTCATTAGCTCCAGTGTTGGCCGGGGAGCCGCTATATACTGATAGCCCCACACGTAGTACTTGTCATCAGTGGACACACCGATCGATAAACTGTTGGCATTGTAGGCAAAAATGTCTTTAAACCTGATATTTGCCGCCACTTTGACACGAATGGG